AAAGAAGCAAATCTCACACCTTTCAGAGAATTGACAATTCCTTTTGCAACGGTAGAAATGACGTGCTCTGCTTGATCCAGCGAAGTGCAATCTACTGGGTGTGGCTTTGAACACCACACGGGCACTTCTTCCACATCTTCAATGAGTACTGTCACTAACTTGAAGTCCCTTTCGCTGTCCAAGTGTAACGMAATTGCTAAAGAATACTCCTCTTTGCAYACTTTGGACTTGAAATAGTCTTCTGACAGCAAGGCTATGACAACCTTTGAATCGTCTGCAAATACAAATTGKGAAATAYGGACAATSTATATGAAATTGTTAATATTAAATGGAATCGGGCGGGAATCAAACGCATGACCTCTGTCGGTGTAGTGCTCTACCAACTGAGCTATGAAGCCAAGTATGTTGCCGAACGGTCATTTCATTAAAGAATCTATCCATCTGCTTAGGAACAAATGTACAACTAAGGTCAKTGTTTAGAAACACAACGAGTTACCTAATGCATGAAATAGAGACTGTTGCCAGGAAGTACCAGTCTTTAAGCCAGCTGTATAGATGTAGACGTTCAAGTTGGGAGCAAAGGTTTTCAAAGCCTTGTATAATTGACGAGCTTTGTCATCATTACAGTGCGAATACGATATAAACACTTCATACTCTTGGGAAGAAGTCAATGGTTTCTCTACAGCGGCCGYCTGCTCTTGGTGTACTGATTTCACGTTGTTCGTCTTAAGCCACAACTGGACAGAATCTGATGCACCTTTTAGCTTTTCCAGGTCATTTGGTCTATGAGAGAAATTGAATTATTGAGAGATATATGAGAATGATGATATGCATAAGTAAACTTTTTTCTCTTTTGTCAGAGTAACAGGAGAATCAACGGAACAAAAAGACGTCATTATTTTCAAAACTTTGTCCATTTTGGGTAATTTTCTCTTTTGYTACTAGCTTGTTTAGTTTTAACAACTATACATTTAGCAGTTTAATAAGAAAAGTGCGTGTTCTACAGAAACATGACTGAATGGCTGAACAACCACTGTCAGTTTCTACCGTAGTTGGGCAAGGTTTCATCGCCTTAAAATGGTTAGTGCGTGAGTCTCGGACAAGACAAAACAGCTTGATGGATCATCAATTCAGTACAATCTCATTCATATACCTGCAATCAACRTACTGCATCAAACCCATATATGTTGGCAAATACTCCACACTTTGAACATAGAAAGGTGCMAGCACTTCTTTATGCTTTCTGCGACTGATACACAAYGCCATGTTGTATTGCTCTATGCAACTTTCTGAGGACAAATAGTTTGGACTGAGGAGTGTTACRACACGGGTRCATTTCACCATTATGTCATATATATCATCTTGCCAGGATTTGTCGGCATCAAGGTTTTGAATTTCGTCAAAAACTTTCAGCTCGTCTTTTTCTTGGAGATATTCCTTCACTTGAAGTGCTGTATTGTGGTCTTTATCGCAGTGGGAAATGTAAATGTCATAAAGATGGATTGCACCCTTAAAGATACGAAGAAATTAGAATCATATACAAGCGATTGACGCAAGGCGGACTCATTTTAGGCCTCAGAAATATAGAGGTGGGAATTATGAACAGAAATTAAATCTGAATRGAAATCATTCAAAAATATCTAAAGCAGCGTTCATCGGAAAGGCATTTCATCTTTTTGCAGCCTTTTAAAAATCCAATATTTTTTCTTGAGTTATATGATAGCCACCCACTTTGCAACCTTCTGGATCACCACTGATAGATGCATATTCTACCGTGCATCGTCCGTACTTGAAAGTCATTATTTTTAGAATAATTTCATTGTGACAAGGTCAAGATTATGTGACACCCATATTTGGAAAATTGCGTGAGCGATCACGTTTGTAACGCGCGTTTTACGCAAGTAAATCAGTTCTGCTCCAGATTCGGTCGTGTTTGGTTGTGGGTCAGTTTTCTCTGTTTGTTATCTTTCTCCAACAACTTATATCAATATGAACCTACAGCAAACAACTACTAAAATCCATCATTTCCACCCGGTTACATCATAATAAGAAATAGTTGGTATTTTTGTTACTTAAGTCAATTTCGTATGAGTGGGAAACGTACGGTAGAAATTACCGCACGATTACCGCACAGTTACCGGACCTGGCCTGCACAATTTTTGCGAAGCAATGAGACACTAGAATTTGGTTACAGTATGATTACGGTTACAGTAAAGTACTGTCCGTTTCCCACTCATACGAAATTGACTCTAAGCATGACGTTCACGGCAAATGGCAGAAAATATCACGTGACCTGCTTTTTGGGTTTTTACCATAACATTTTCAACGCGAGAATGGGTTATTTTGAGTTTACAATCAATCGCGAAGAGTCGCTCTTTACAATGACTACCTAAAGCGCAAGGTCAGGCACGAAATTCTTAGGTCATTGCACGGTTCAGCTCTACCGTTAGCCGTTTGCTGTAAACGTGATGCTTAAACTCTCTACCTCTTCCTTCTCACTTTCTTCAACCAGATCCTTATTTTCAACTTCTGCTTTGTACTCCTCGAACAGTTGAAACAAAGGTACAAAAGATTTATCTTCTTTTTGGGGATTTCTTGAGAACAATACAATCTTCAATGTCCGTAAAGGTAAACCAGTTTTAATCCAGTTTACTGCAGCTTTCAGTATTTGTCTTAAGACCAGTTTCTTGGGATAACCCTAAATCAACAGAGAGCGTCAA